TATTATGTGATTTGATTCCGTTGTGTCTTATGCTCCTTGTGTGGATAGGTCTAAGGGTCTTAGAACCCAAGTTTATAGCCTAAACTTATTACTTATTGGGCTGTGAGCTCATAAAATTCCCCCCCCCATTTCAGATCAATAGATCGAGGTAGCAGCCTCTCGGTTTAGGAGCTTTTGGCACGGGACTCGCATGCTCGTTGTATGTACAAGCTAGGGCCTCGTGTTTTTGATAAGGAGGCAAATCAATGTATTACCAAAACAATGACTCAGCTTTGGTTTTTTTGAAAAGCTTTGAAGAAGAATTTGCCTCGTATAATTTTTATGTAAATTACCTTTATGTATAAATCTTTAAATTAATTATAAATGAGCTTAACTCAATTTATCTTATTACTTTGAATATTTTGGCATTTTCTAATATATATATGATATTCTTTTTATTAAATTGATTTTCTGAATGTAGGCTTTCTTTTGAAGAAATATTTTATATCATAAGTGTTTTTTTTACTTCCGCTGCAATTCTTTACTATAAATTTTGTTTTCGAACTCTTCTAGGACTAAGGGTGCCTAGGGAGGTGTGTTATATACGCAGGATTTAGTAAGTTCCCCAAGCTTTGCGCAAGATTTTGGAAGATTCTACAAGCAAAATGGTAATCTTTCATAGTAGTTTCCAAGGCCATGGAACTTGTGTAGCCACCCTTACATTAAATATGGTTGCAAGTTATAGATGGTGATCAAGATAACATCTCTGGTTAGTTTCTGGCAGGATTTCCAACTTTCGATTAGCATCAAATGGCATTATTCCAAGAATCAAGTTCATTTCCATGTCTTTGTTACGTAACCCCTTTCTGGCGAAGTCAGGTAACATCGCCAGCACCAAGTTTCGCTGGTGCGGGCACCTTGCTTCGCTAGACAGGCAGCGTTCATCCAACCATGCCTACCAAGCCACTACTCCCATAGTTTATCCCGAATAATCCCCATGAGCTTGGATTCATGATCTTGTGTTTATCTACAGTAACAACAAGGCACATATGAGTATATGTTTAAATAGTTAAGAGTAAGAAATATATAAACATATGCAACGAAGAAGGAAACTCCCTCGTGTGTTGAAAGGGGCTATGTGGATGAATATCTGCCATTCTCATCTGCTTGCTGGCTGTGGCCGACATCAGTATGGTGTGTACTGAGATATCATTGTCCCAAGCCAAGCTTCGTTGGCTGGCGATACCTGCTGACACGTAAGGCATAGAAAATATGTGTTATGAGTCGAGATTACCGACGATCGGTAATTTCGTCCCTTTGTGTAGAAGAGTGACAATGTGCATGACCTCCGGCCATGTTTTGTATGTATTGCGTGGTCAACCATGAATAGCTTCCCCATGGTCGAGGGACAACAGTGGCTAACTTTGCCCATTGCCGGAGCGTGAACTAT